CTCGGTCTCAGCACGACCTTAAATCCTCTGGGTGTGCCTAGTACAGCATAGAATGGGTTTCAGTGAGTACATTGGGCTTCAGCTCTCCATCTGCGCTTTGCCTTTCTCTTCCTAGTTTTATTTTTCCCTTTGGTTACCGCCTTGGTTAATAGGAATCATTATCCATTCGTCTGGCCCTCTCCATGTTGTCATATTCTAGCATCTAATCTGATTTCTCTGCAGGGACTCTCCATCCAGCCACCTAGCAAGCCGCCATTTTTCTCCAACCCAAATATTTAATATTTAATACTGAAATTAATTGAAGTTTTTATTGTGTTTAATTTTGAGACTTACCAGTCATAAAAGGGCAATAAATAGCCCTTGTAACAATCACACTAATGACTTCCTTCATTTAATCTCTTTTTAATAATAAATGATAGATTCTTCACTTTGAATATAATTAACTGATATTGTACCTCTCTTAAAACTCTAATAACAGTAGTAATTATAACTCATGGGAAATGTAAAACTTTGAGCAGATAGCTGCCTAACAGAAGAAATACCTTAGGTAAGCCTTAGGATTTAGCTAGCAGTGACCTACATACACTAGCTTAAGGGAAAAACAGGGTGGAGGTGGTTTAGATTAGAGCTGTTAAAGGGGAGTAGCAGGGAGGCAGACAAGCTGCAGAGAAGAGGTGCACTGAAATGCAGAACTGATATGCCATGCTGACTTTTACTGTCACATCTCTGCTTCACTCTGCAACATTTGCTTTTCTCCCTTAGGGCTCTGGGGATGACTGGTAGAAGATGCTCGCTCCATGTTTCCTGTTCCTAACCAGAAACAGAGGTCTTTTCCACATACACGTTTGCAATCAGAGGCTTGGATTATTACTCTGGAGTTCACAGGAAGAGGCTGCATTGATGCATGTGATTGCCAGTGCTGATCATTAGGGAAGCTGGGCAGTAAAGAATGGCAGCATCTCCAAAAGCATGCTACTAAGCTTAGTAAGACATTGAACATGGATTTAGGCTCTTCAATGAATTAAATTTCTTTTTAAAATTTTTTATTTATTTAAAGAAAAAAATATATAAAAAGGGTAGAAATAATACATAATTTCAAACAAACAGTAAGAAATCACTAGTTGATAATTACATATTGTCCTCTTACAAATAGTTTTTTGAGTTACAAAAGTGAAGCATATAAAGTGGACATTTAAACAGCGAGAATGCAAACAGTTTTGTTCAGTGATCCAACAAAAACTTAGTAACATGGTTATCGATCCTATACACTTAAACATACATGCAGTTATATCTTTTAGAGCACTTTCTTTTCTTTTTTACAATAGCAATTATACATTTTGGGTTTTATTATTCCTACATTTCTTACTACTTTTTACACTAGAGATACAATGTGATATTTATAAATATGATTCTTGTTTATTCACTAATGAGGATAACCTCAAGTTGTCTCCATTTGCCTATGAAGGCCTCAAGATCATCTTTTTTATGGCTGAGTAATAGTCCATTGCATAAAAAGTACCACAACTTTTAAATCCACTCTGTGGTTGATGGGCATCTTGGTTGTTTCCAATATTTACGTATTACAGATTCTGCTGCTATGAACATGGGTGCACATATATAACTGTGATATGACCTTCAGTGTTTCTGGGAAAATACCCAGAAGGGGAATAGCTGGGTTTAGTGAAATTTACAATCCTATTCTTTTGAAAATTCTCCATACTGATTTCCATAGTGGTTGTACCAGTCTACACTCCCAGCAGCAGTGGAGCAGTGTTCCTTTTTCCCCAGCCTTGCCAATATTTGTTATCAGTTGATTTCTTGATGGCAGTCATTCTTTCCAGAGTGAGATGAAATCTCAATGCTGTTTTAATTTGCATTTCTCGAATGACCAGTGATTAGTGAACATTTCTTTGTGTATGTATTTGCCATTTGTATAGCTTCATCTGAGAACTGTGTGTTCATTTCAGATGCCCATGGAATTATATATCTACATGGAATGACTAATTACTACCTTCTGAAGGATAGAAAGTCTTTGCCTGAACATATTTGCTACATTACCTTTACAATGTCTTTTATTTAATCTCATAACATTATGACCACTACATTCTTCTTATTTTCATTTAAATAAAGTTTATTATTTAGAGAATTGTTAGGTTTGTCACATTCCTCAACAGAAGGTACAAAGTTTGTCTTTGTACAAGGTACAAAGATTGATGAACCTAGACTGGCAGATTATTATCACTCAAAGACCATAGTTCATGTTAATGCTTAATGTTTACATTTTCATTGCCTTGTATTGTATTATATTGTATTGTATTGTGTTGTATATTTGTGGCCTTGGCATTTTTTTAAAGAACAGGAAGAATTTATTGAAAGAAATAAAGTTTCCATCTGAGAGGTACAAAAAGAGGCCCAGAAAGTATGCTGTCCAGAGGTTGCCCACCAACCTCACTTCTCAAGGGTATTTCATTGAGGAAAGCCACAAGTTGAGGTGGGCTAAAGGTGGGATAGTACTATCATCAATCAATAAGTTTAAAAGTACAGTTGCTTAGGTAATATTGATCCAATGGTAAATCATAGAATGGGTATGAAGGGGGACAAAGCTGTGTCAACTAATAAATACACAGCAAGGAGAGTTGCTTGATTAATGCTGATTACATGGGACTCAAATGTGGGAATAAATCATGTAGCAAGAACACTCAGGATGCACAAGCCATTCTTGGAAGGGGTGGTTACTTTTTTCTCTCATTGCTGAAATAAAATGCCCATCACGCCTAAGTTAAGACAGGAAATGTCTATTTACTTCACAATTTGTGAAGGTTTCAGTCCATAATCAGCTGGCTCCAAGGCTGGCATGTCAGCAGGCAATGGCTCAAGGTGTCATCAGATACCAAAGGGAACAAGAGCATGAGGGAGGAACGCTCAGAGACTCTTTCTACCCCTTAGAATGTATGCTGAGTATGCACCCCAGGGTGGGTGTAGCACTCATACCCATAATTACAGCACTGAACATGAATCAAACCCAAACTCTAGAAGCTCGCCTCTAAAAAGGATGAGGCTTTGGTGGGAAATTCAGACACAAAACGTAGCAGGTGAGTTAAAGAGGTTTAGTCCTCCATCCCAAAGTAATTGATGCCTACTTAGAATATCAAGCATTGCAGTTCATCTCTAGGGGAAATACATGGGTAATTCCTCTTTTTCTTGAAACCTGGCTTTAGTGAAGGTACTTCCAGCCACAGTTGCTTGCCAAATGGACCTCTCCAGGGCCCAACCCTATCTGAATACCTGTGATGTCTCTACCTAATTTGAATAGATTCATTGCCTTAAAAATTCCCTGACTTACACCTATTTATCCCTCTCGCTGAACTGTGGCAACCGTAGATCCTTATTTTTTCTCTACAGATTTCCTTCTCCAGTATAAATTTAAATAGCTTTCATATTAATAATACACACTTAAAACTCCTCCATATTGTGATTGTTTAGCCTTTGTTTTTAATGCTGAACAAATTTTCTATTCATTTATGCTTGATAAGCTGGAATCACCTCTTCCATGTTAACTAAATTACTACTCTCAGACATGTATCTGGGAGTGAGAATTGTTCCTCTCAATGTTCTCACAGACTAATAAATCTCCTAGTAAGTTTAAGTGCACTTTATCACTGTGTGCCTTATTCCAAAAATAAACATCTCAGCTTTCCTCTGCTTTTCAAAATTCACATTTTCCACTCCTGAACATTTACTGATGATGAAATTGCCATTATTCTTATTCCATAGAGATCCAGAGAGCCCAGCTGAACTCTATGAATATCTAAAAGGAAGAAAATAAAAGTCAAACCTGACACAGTACAAGACCTATCCAAATACACCTTTAAAATTACTTTTCTCACTTGAACTGATGTTTTGTAATTGAATCCCTCAAGTGAGAGGAGAATTAGCCCTGAGTAGTTTACAAGTTAAAGTGCACAATTCAGGAGGCAATGAAATGTGAAGAGCACCTATACTCTCTCACAAAATGATTTAAAAACAACCTTGTCTTATTCCATCAGAAGATAATGGAAACTTACCTTGTTATCTCCCACTCTATTTAAGAGCAAGTGAGTGCTACGGAAGTTATATAATGGTCCTTATGTGCTTAAAGTAGAGATCATGCTTTTCCTAACCTTCCTTTTCTTTGATTTTTAGTTCCATATCAAGGAGATGGCACACTTAGAGCACTCAACACAATCCTATGGATGAACAACAAGAGCCTTACACCAAATACCATGTAGACAGTCATACCCTTGTGGCTCACTTTGGCTCTAAAGTTTTCATGGGGAAGTTCCTCCAGTTGCTGATCCTCTTGTTGAATCCTGGGATCTTATCAATTTTATCTAGTTAACATCAAGTTAAATTAATAATCTTACAATTAATTCTCAAGTACAAAGCCACCTAAGGATGATGCTGTCTTGAAATGGACATCATCCTAGTAATTTTCTCATTGTTGGGACAAAACACTCGAAATTCACAAGTTAAAGAAGAAGAAGAGCTTTCTTGGTTTACAGTTTTAGAAGTTTCAGTTCATAGCCTGCTGTTCCCAGGAAGAGGGCATGGCAAAGGAGAAAGAGCTCATGGCATGGCAGGCAGGAAGAAGAAGGATATATGCATCCTGGTCATGCCCCCAGTGACACCCTTCTTTCCACCAGGCTTCACCTCCCCACATCACACCCAGGTATAAACCCATCAGTTCACAACTCCAGTGAAAGCTGTCACACCTCTATGATCCATTATTGCACACCTATGAATCCATCAGCTTCTCAAAGCCCTGCCTATGAGCACACAATACACAGAGGAGACAGCTAGATAAAAACCGTGACAGAAATATAACACACAGTATAAATTAACGTTTCCAAAAGCTTGAACAGTTTAGTACCAACTAGAAACTTCTGGGGAGGGAGGGAGAGAGGGAAGGAGGTAGGAGAGGAGAGAAGAATAGAAAGAAGAAAACAAAATATCTGAAGCAATAAGAGTTTCAAAATCTTTTTAAATCCATTGTTAAGTCTGGATACAGTGAGTCATATGGATGGGTAGTTTTGCCAGCAGCAGATACAGAAGTGGCCTTAAGGCAACAAGTGTAAGCTAAATCTTAGGTTCTAGAGGAATATTGTAATATTCACTTAGAGGCACTATAAGAATTACAGATTTATGGCAAGCAATCTCAGCACTTAAATTAATATTCATTTATTAAATATATTTTATAAAACATCTTAATGTGAGAACCAAAATAAGCATACTAGTGAATAGAAATAAAAGCATCATTTAAAAAATTGTATTTATAAAGTTCCTAAGCATTACAGAAATGGGAGATAGTGAAAGAGTGGGGAAATCTCTATTTTAGGCATGTATGAATATATTATGTAACTCCTGCAGCATTCAAATTTTAATTTGCATATAGTGTCACTTGCCAGAAGCAGATATTTTATGCATAACCACAGATGGAAGCTGTTAGCTAGGATTCTGTCTCTATCGTCATTAGATAATAATTGGAATGGATCGGTACCTACCTGCAGGCTTTCACAAGAAGGAAAAGGCAAAGTTAATCAGTTTGAAGAATAAAGTTCAAGTGAGTATTAAGAGAGCATCACAGCTTTTGCAAAACAGTCTACAAAAATGTTTCGACATTGAATTGGGTCCACTTGATTAATTGCACAGTGTTTAAAAAATGTCTGATACTGTAAGAAACCCACGTTAGGAGTATGGAAGAGCTGAGCATTCATCATCGTCTTGTACAGTCTGGGGCAATATTCCTGAAAAACCTGTCAAAATGAATTTGAAACATACAATTAGTCAAACACTAAAGAAATTTAGAGAGATAGGTTTCCTTTACATTTTAGCATGTTTGGAAGTGTTTGTATTAATGAAATTCACCAGTATCTTTCATCAAGTTATTAAGTTATCATTACTGTGATATATAGCACAAGGCTATTTTAAGTCTGCTTTTGTCTATTTGCTTCTTTTCAGAATGTATAATTTTAATTATTTATTGTTTTAGTTTTAAACAGCCCCAGCATAATAAGCAAAGTTAAGAACAACAATGAAACAAAGAATATTTTAAAAATTGATCACCTAAAGGAAAATGAGAGAAGAGAGTATATAACCATCATTTGGCTTCTGATCTGAAATAGTTGCTTCAAGAAATTTGCTTCCTTGGTGCTGGCTCTGGTCTCGTCTCCATCTATTCAGTCACTCCTATGCTCAGTGTCTTCCCTTCGGGCCATTCAGACACCACATCTCTATTTACTTTACAAGGTTCTAAAGAGGATAAAATAAGACCATCACACTGAAGCACCATTCACACTGCGTCTTGAAAATCATTTTAAGAGCCTCATGCAAGAATAGCAAAAGAGACACAACAGAAAGCATCTTAGAATGAAACCTTCTGCAGACTCACTGAAAAGCAGGGAGCTGTAATACAGAATCGCTTCCCATCAAACCACCATTTTCTCCACCTGGCTTTTATTGTTTTCTCCTTTTTTTCTTTCCTAGCAGTGGTCAGCAACCTGATAATTGGAAGGCCAAACTTCACTGATTCACTTCTTTACCAATAGGTGGGATTGAAGATGCTTATTAAAAAGAGAGAGAATGGCAGGATAGAGGCGTCCCAAGAGCTTAAGGGTGTCACATCTATTTTTTTTTTTTGTCATCTGTAATTTTGTTTCTCCGATCCCTCCTAGTGGGTTAATTTCTTAACCTGATAAACAGAGACTCAACAATCCACTAAAACCAAAAGCACTGTCCACAGTTCCTGGAGTACAGGAGGTGAAGTAGAGCTCGGTATGCTGGGCTGTGACATCAGATAATCAGCAATGTCAACCTCCACCTGCTAGAACAGGGAAGACACACAATGGAAAGAAGGCAAAGATACTGTAAACTCCATCCCGTGGTCACACTTCCTTTCCCTGTCACAGGTAAGTCCCTGTCCCTTTGATAAACTAAGACTCCTAAGGGCCAATGGCCTTTGATTTTGTGAAATTTGAGAAGTTCAATGGGATGATAACCCGGGTTCCCGATAATGATAATAATAAATTTCCTCTCTGCTTCTGTTGAGCCCCTGTCTTAGTGGCTCTTTTGCCACGCTACTGAGTTAACCTCTGAAGCCCATGGGCTAACAGGCAGGGAAGTGTGATCAATACGTTTCTGAACTCCCTCTCGTCACATGTGTCCTCTCACAGAAAGCAATGAAATGTCTGAACAATTCCATGCACCTCTCAAATATTAGCTCTTTAGTAAAGTGGTGTATTTCTCTACACCGTACTTTTAATCATCATCATCATCTAGTCGTTTCTCAAGCTTAAGGTTTTGAACATTATTAAGTGCACATATATCAAGTATATTCACAATATAAGAGCCAGTAAGTGAGAGAGAGGTACATGGAAATTTAGCAAACAATTTTCCTTGAAGAATTTTCAGTTTGTTTAGAAAACAAGACACACAGACAGTAAATAAAGAGAAACTCACACTGTAATCCCACACTACATTCCTTTAAAGTGGAAAAGGAACTCATTATTTATGTAGGCCCATGATTTCAGCACACACACACTACAGACTCAACGTGGCTTAAGCTAGATGTGATGTCAAAGTTTGAATTCTAATTTTCAGTGTCTGTCAGCTTGTATTAAAACAATATTTGACCTTGGCAAAGGAGGATGGAGAAGCTTTGGATAATAAGGAAAATAAATATTTTAGGCAAGCAGTTTGGTAAACTGTAAAATAAACAGTTTTAAGAGCTTGCTATGTTTTATACCATCAATAGATCTCTCATGCAAGTCATTGAACTGATTTATAGGACAATCCTGGGAACAAAGATCTTTAACATATGGAGAGTCATGGAACATTTGTTGAATTTAAAAATAAGAAGATGGCTCATTCAAAGGAACCTGTTTCAAACTTCTGTCCTTTTCGACCCTAGAAGAGTAGATGATGGAAACGTTAGGCTTACAGTGAATGCTTTCTAACTTGGAGAGAGCAAAGTCAAATTTAATGATAAAGGATTAAATTTATATCTCATTATCTACCACAAAATAGTTTTATATCTTTATATGATCATCCAAAAAGGAAAATAATTGGTAACTTCAAATACTCTTTCTGATTCATCAGATTTTATTAATGAAAATTTCTGAGTGACATAAAAAAACAATCATTTGAAAGTTAAAATTTGAAGAATGAACAATGTAATAGAAGTCTTATCTGTTGAATTTATGTTTCTCAGACTAGTGTTTTCCCTTGATTTCTAACTGCATAATATTCTCATCTATTTTATTGATTTTTCTCATGATTTTGATCCTATTTTTACTGACTTTTCTATTTGTTCAGAGAACATTTTTAAAGGTGCACTCTGGATTGAACAATTTGGTAGGTATTGAAAATCTGCAAATACAAGGCAATCATTTTGCTAAATAGGTAATTAAGGTACAAACAATAAAACATATTTTGTTCTATTATGTCCAAGGTACCTTATATATGCTAATCAATTCTCATAAAAATCTATAGATTATCATTCCATTTGTAGAAAAGCATTGAAATATTGCCTATATAGGATAGAATCCACAAAACTTAAGTGGAAAATAATATATAACATTTTTAATATAAACATAAAATTGTTTTGTATTTTATGTAAATCTTATTTGAAAATGTAATCTTCACTTCCTCATTGATATATAAAGCTTACAAATACAACCTAAAGTTTCAAAAACATGATTAAAAATGATTCATATGATTAAACTCTGTAATTAAATTTTCTGAATATAATAAAAAGTTTTATGTATCATCTCAAAAATATTTGAAGAGACTTTGCTTAGAGAAATTGCTTTTACAGTATAATGTGTATTCACATATGCATTATACTGCAAAATATATATATATTTTATATTCTATATATATGTATTGTTCACATTGTATTTAAAAAGCAAAAGTGTGAATAAAATAATGACTACAAGTTTAGTTCATGCAAAATCAATTTAATCTGACCTGCAAACTTATCATTTGAAGCCTATTCTGAGCACCCTAATTATCAAAAACATTTAATTATGAAACATATGTTCTGTTACATGCTGGTAAAATAAAATGAAAAGATAAGATGTCACTGATCAATTAAGAGATAGACCTCAAGGAAATAATTGAAATATAGTGGACAAGTTGTTTAAGGTCTAGGTATTATTAAGAGTCTTGATATTTTTAATTATTCAGATATTAAGATTTAGTATAAGGACACAGAAAATTAAAGAGCTATTGGGAAGTGTGGTAGGCATGGGGAGGCATCATCTGACTCTTCAGTTATTCTGAAAAGTAGCTCTTCAAGGTGAGCTTGCTGTGCAGTAGGTCCCTTGGTCCGTGGTCACATCAGAGCAAAAAAGAATTATGTATTCCTTGCCTTCCTTTAGATTTCTCACCTCCTCTCCACATTTACTGTTATCTCCCTACTAAACATTTTTCCAGCATTGTAATTGCCAGACTATAACTTGTCATCTTATATTCCAGTCACTTTATTCCATCCATTATCCAGTTAATAGCAGAGATGACTTTTCTGAGATGAGCATCTCTTTATATCACTCTTCATTTATACACTTATATCCATCAGAAAAATTCTTAAATCTTTTAGGTGACATACAGTGCCCGGCATCATCTACTCCACATTATTACTAGCTAATCCTCCAGTTTGGGGCTCAAGTCATTCTGCACAATTTATTTTTCCAATGCCATTCTACCCTCACATTTTGTTCCCATACCTGAAATAATACCCTCATGAGTTTGTAATTTCCCTTTATCAAGCAACCACAGAGTGCAGTGGCATTTATGCATACAACTGAGAGTTGGTTGGGTTTTAGTTTGTGAAGGCTAAGTTGTGCACTGGGTGATTCTCATCTTCCCCCTGGGGTCACCAGTCCTAAGTCATGATCTTTCCAAGGTGATAGCAGAGGTACCAGAGGGAATGTGGAAGCACCTAAGATTTTCTAAGTCTCCACCTCAAAACTAGACTCCATTTATTTTTAATTAATATCTGACCAAGCTGAATAACATGTACATATTCAGAGTCAAAGGAAGAAATATATCTTACTCTTTTATGATACCAACTTTAAAGTCATACAAAAAAACACACAATAAAAATATGAGTTTAAGGAAGAAAGATTTGGGACCCATAATGTAATCTATAACACCATGATTTTGTTTTTCCCACTAGTTCTGTAAATATCATTTCAATCCTCAGGTCTTTCAGATACCGTTGTCTGATTTTTCAGTCTCTTTTAAACTTTTATATTTTTAACCAGTTAGCATCATCTACTTTGCATTATAGCTATGTAAAAATTTATAATTGCAATTGCTAGTGCTTATTTTTTCTTTTTGTTACAATGAAGATTCCTTAAGGTAATGTGTGTTTGGATTTAATGCATATTCAGTAAACTGAAGTAAATTCTATGAACTTCATAGTGATTTGTTAGAATAAATGGTTGTGTAAAACGTGTATGAATATGAATATGAGTGAGTGAAAGAATAAATGTGTAGATACAGGAGTAGGGCAGGCAGAAGGTAATGAGACCTGAGCCAGAGCAGCAGGAGTGAGGACAGAGGGGAGGTCATCAGTGCAAAGCACGCGTAAGTAGGCAGAACTGTCAAGCTTTGCTAAGGAAGATATTTAGGGCTATTTCAGATTTATGATTGAGCAATTGAAAAATTAAGGGTTATTCTTTCAAATGAGCTAGATAAGTGGTCAGAAAAGACTGAGTATGTAACACATATTCATAGCCTTTCATTTAAAAATGAATGGACCTAACACTTAATCGTGAGGTTCTAAGAATGTGTATTTGGAGAAAAAAATCATGGCATTGCTATGGTGTTATTCACATGGACAAACATGTTAAAAGTGGCTCATATTGGGAAACAAGAAGAAAGAGGAAGGCTCGATTCCTGTGCTTAGCCTCCAAGACTTCCAGATTACTCCCTGTATAGTCATGCAATGTTGGACAACTTTGAGTGCCATCTCACTCTGAAGAAAGAACACATATCACTCAACTGTCATGAGTTAAAACACGATGATATATTAGAGCTAGTATTGAAAGTAACGATCAAAGGGCTGGGGATTTAGCTCAGCAGCATAAGCACCTGTCTTGCAGGTGTGAGGTCCTGAGTTCGATCCCTGGTACTGCTAAAAAAAAGACAGAAAAATAAAACAGCAATCAAATCTAAATATTATATAGTGCTTTTCACATTTGACATTTTGAGTCAGACGATTTCCTCTTGGAATCATAAAGAAAATTGTCATGTCTATTTTATGTTTAGTAGCACCCCTGGTTTCTGTTTAGTAGATTCCAATAGCATCACTGAATGCTACCATCAGAAACGTCTCCAG